TACAGCTGGTGTGTGAAATGCGCATGTTCATAGCCTGCCACAGCACCTTGTTGGTGGATATGATTTATGATACAGACAGAAAGGAGGGGATACAGGGGTAAAGTTCAAATGCAATTAAGTGAAAAATCAGTTTCGGCTCCACAGAAGAACATGCCAAAATGTGGATCCTAATAAATGAATGGATTTCTTTTGAACTTTGTCTCGAGGCTCGTAAATTAATTAGGTCATCCTTTGGAAACTTCACACAAACACTTATAATTACTTAAGGTTGGGGAAACACTGCTTTAGGGTAATCCAGAAATATAATAATCTTTTTTTGGGGTGGGGTCTGTTTTCCTCTTTAGGACAGTCTCACAGCCATCCCAGAGCTGAAGGATCACCTCCGGATCTTCAGGTTAGTCCTTTTAAACAGACCTGGCTAGTTTTAATGCCATGCTAGTTTTTCGCAGCAGATCTTAAGAACTGAGCAAAAGCAGAAGTTCTCCCAGGCTCGTACCATTGTGAGATGTTGGCTTAACACACCCATCGTCCTTACCCAACAGAAGACTGGGAATGTGGACCAACCACTACCGGGTTGTGGGTAAAGCTAGGATGGAGGAAGATGGTGTTTGTTTTTCTAAATTTCTGGAGATACGTTCACCACTTTTTAGGAATACTGGCTCTTCATTTGGGGAGTATTCCCTCATAATATTTTAGTATTCACACAGACAAAGGGATACCCAGGGAAGATGATGGAGAAATTTTACTGGGGCTGCCCCAAAAAGAGGGGGGGGGGTCAACCTCTTCTGCAAAGCACCTGAGGGTAGGACAAGAAGCAACGGATGGAAACTAAGCAAGGAGAGAAGCAACTGGAACTAAGGAGAAATTTCCTGATAGAACAATTAACCAGTGGAATGACTTGCCTCCAGAAGTTGTGGGTGATGAATCACTGTAGGTTTTCAAGAAGAAATTGGACAGCTATTTGTGTGAAATGATATAGGATTTCCTGCTTGAATGGCGGGGTTGGATGAGAAGACCTCCAAGGTCCTTTCCAAATCTGTTTTTCTGTTTATCTGGGTTGTTTTCAAAGAGACTTCCATCTCATGGGGTGTTAGACTAGAAGACCTCCAAAGTCCCTTTCAGCCCTGTGATTCTATGATTCTGTAAACCAGTGGTTCCCAAACTTGGCAACTTTAAGACTTGTGGACTTCGAGAATTCTCCAGCTAGCTCTTCTGGCTGGAGAACTCTGGGAGTTGAAGTCCACAAGTCTTAAAGTTGCCAAGTTTGGGAACCACTGATGTAAACTNGAGGAGGAGTGGGAGGAAGAAAAGGAAGAGGGGAGAGGAGGAGGAATATTGTAGGGTTTGATGCTGAGTCTCTGAGCTTGGTTGATTTCTTCCAAATGTTTCATGACCCAACTAGGTAACATCATCAGCGCAAGAAGGGCGATTTGTAGCAATGCCCTCACTCCCTTCTAGCACTAATGACGTTACCCAGTTGGGTCAAGAAACATCTCCAAGAAAAACACCAAGCTCAGAGAGCACCAAGGACCCCACAATTTCCCTCTCTCCTCTTCTCCATAATCCCCATTCCCTTCTAGTCCTGCTGATGTTACCTAGTTGGGTCAGGAAATGTCTGCAAACCCCCCCCCCCAAACTCAGAGAACCCCAAGGACGCCTCAAAATTAAGTAAGCCTGTCAGTGTTGCAAACATATCATCCTCAGCTTACCCATCATCTGTTTAATGACCGTTTGGAGTTACAACAGCGCTAACGTACGACTCTTCCTTGCCCTTCCAACAACAGTTACGTGAACCAAATGTTGGGGCGCTTGGCAACTGGATCATAAGGGAGGGGGGGAGGCGTGTCCGTCATAACTTTGAAACGGTTGTAGGTTGAGGCCTGCCTGTATTACCATAGGGATTTTCCCCATTGACTGAAAACATACTTCAGTGAGAAGCCCCCCTCAAGGGGGGAGACCCCCTGCGGAACCCCCAAATTTTCCTCCTGCCTAAAACGCTCCCCCGGCACGAAGAAAAGGAAAATGGCGGGCAGGAAAATGGAAGGACTGTGACTCAGTTTGTGAGAGACCCCTGCATTCTCCAGATAAGCCCTGAAAAACATGGCCCCGAAACCACAGGAGTAGAGATACTATTCCTTTACACCCTGGAGAATGATAACCAGGCCCGGAAGGAAATTATTTCCAGCAGTTCCTTAATTTGGGGCATCTATTTTAACAAGTCTTTCAGCAGCCACCGGAACAGGACAACACTTGCAAGTTATTTATTCCTCTCTTGCGAAAAAGGGAAAAAAATATTATTTCTCCCTCGGCTAATAACTGGGTGAATGGACAATCCAGGGAGTTATAGTTCTCGCCAGGGGTAGGATTCAGCCAGTTCGCACCACTCCGGGAGAACCGGTTGGTAACTTTCTAAGCAGTTTGGTGAACTGGGTGTCGGAAGAAATCCTTAGGGCAGAGAACCGGTGGTTAAATTATTTGAATCCCACCACTGGTTCTCGCCCACTGGGAAGGCGCATAGCTGGGAAAGGGGGTTAGAAATCACTCTGGTGTGTGTGTGTGTGTGTGTGTGTGTGTGTGTGTAAATGAGACATGTTTTAGAAAGGAAGGTAAAAATGAATAAAAATTAATTAATCCAGGTAGTCCTCCAATTAGAACTTCCTTGACTTGCTCCCTGTTGATTTCCCAACCCGAATGGATTTTTCCCTGCCCGTCTCGGAAGTTAACAGAATAACGAGGGTTGGAAGGGACCTCGGAGGTCTTCTAGTCCAACCCCCTTGCTTAGGCTGGAA